TACTTGATAAGCAACTTACATATGATTTTATATTCCATATTCATTAAAAATCCCACCAAACAACGCTATATCTATCTATCCATGGCTGTACAACCTTCGGTGACCTTGGCCGACTTTCTAGTTTCTTAATCTATACACAGGCGGTAAAGCTCTTTTACGGGGAACCAGGAGGTCACAAGGCTACCACCTACACACAGAACAGCACAAACACAGAAACACGCACACAGACAGGTATCCATGCCTCTAGTGGGATTTGAAACCACGATCCTAGTGTTCGAGCGGGAAAAGACGGTTCATGCCTTAGACCGCACGGCCATTGTGATCGGCACCAACGCAATGTATTCTAGATATTTACAGCGTCGTTAAAAATAAAAGACTCTAAATAACAATGATTATAATAATTAAACGAGACAGGAAGCCTGTATTATGAGATATACTGTATTGTAACAGATTTAGTCAACGCGTTACCAGGCAACAGCTCTGTAAACACGGTCCAACAAGCAACAATAAAGGAAGCTGTCTTTTCTGTAAATAAGACCGACGCGCCAATAGACTGGCAGGATAGCGATCACGTGATATGATAATATTGTATGCCCATGTCTGTTCCGAGGCTATATAAGTAAGAGTGACAGATTCAGTTCAGAGGGCAGTTACGAGACAGCCGTAAGCTGGAGGAGTGAGTCCAGAAGAATCTTTAGTTCCGAGGCTCCAGAGTGAGTCAAGAAGAAATAGCAAGAAGACTTCAAAGTGATTTGAAGTGATCTGTGTTCAGATCCGTTGCTAGGAGACGACTAGTGGAAACTGAGAATCCTAGTGCGTGTGCAAAGGTGGACTGGAAATTGTGTAAGTCAGCGATAGCTTTATAATTACGTGTAATTATTGGTGGTGTGTATCAGGATAAATAAACCCGCTGAGCCAATCCAGAACCCGCGTTATTAGTCACTATTACACGTGACAGTATTCTTTGACTCTACATTTTCAGGCAGAGCACAGAGGAGGGAGAATAGGAGATGATAATCTGCAGGACCAGTGACACTGCTTTTAAATTTCAATATATTATCGCGTGTTGTCTATGTAACGCGACAAATACATTCACGCAGGTCTCGGATCTAGCGAATAAGTTTATTGGCCACACTCTTTTACACCTTCAAGGAGAGTTATCGTCCACAATTTCAGTATCACAATTACTGTTTCTCTTATAGTCGAAGCCAAACGAAACTGTTCTCGGCAACTTCTAGAACTCACCTACTACTGTCAACTGTGTGTCAAAGTCAGACGGTCAGTCAGTAAGTCTTGTTTTTGTGGGGCGCCCTCTCTGACGAGAGGACTGGTCTGTCTTTCATATATGCTGCTGGCACTTGTCACGGCAGTATTTCACGGGTCCGAGCCCCTTGGGACTCGCGACCATATTTTACTGTCTCAGATTTGAGACTTCCCTTTTCATCGCCTCCTGCGACTCGCAGGATCACGGTGGAGGTATTCGACCCCGCCTCCGCACGGGGGAATTATCTGGTTCCTTCGAAGCTGAACTTTTATAACCTGGACTCGGAAGGGATAGAACGCACCATGTAAGAGCTTTTGATCTCGGCAGCTGTCATGCAACGAACCCGCTGTTGTCCTTTCATCTCCGGAGAAATGGGTTTGTTTCTATTCCTAGGCAACGGCCCACTGTTGTTGCGTTTCCATGGAAGTATCCCTTCCGGATTCCCGTGACGCGACATTATATACAATGAATAATGTCAAAATAAATGCCCTATAATCATAATACAGCGCTATTATCAAATTTCAGCATGGCTTCCCACGCCATTCAATGTATGTGCATCACTTGTTCTTATTAACGCTTTTGTAGAACTGTTTCGTCATCAAGTTCGTAATTGGCAGCAATTTGCATGAACAGCGCTAAGTCTACTAGGATGCGTTAACGGCAATCGATGTTGAAATGTTTTGTTGATTTTATCACTGTCATGGCCTCGTTAAACGTAAGAAGCTCCAAGCAACAATTCAGACCGGTTTAAGCTATTCCACCCACCTCTCAGAATGTATGCCGTGAAAACCATTCGGTCCTAATCGCTCAACGAATGCGTGGTTGCTGGATTAACAGATATTCACATCGCGCTGTAAGATACTTTCTCCTCCTGTGACTTTTCCATCTTCCTAGCCCTGTGGAGAGCAGAGACTGATCAGCCTCAAACTGCAGCAGTGGACTTATTATTCTGGCAGTTTAAGCACTTCCACATAACCTGCTTCCTTAATACAGACTTTAAGGTGTTTAAAAGCATAATCAGTAGGGTCGGTTTTACGGGCTACATTTTATATAGGTACGTGGTATTCACAACAGGAATAGAAAAGCCTTTTCTTCTCCCCATAATTTGAAGCCGTATGGGCCCCATCAGTCTCCCATACAAAAGGGTAAGGGCGGCTGATTCCCTGGGGTAAAGCTGCCGGGGAATGAAGCTAACCAGTCACTTCCATCCGGTGCTGAGGTCATAATGGTGGAGGTATACCTGAATTCTCCATACGTCCTCATGAAGTGATGTTGTTAATTAAGCCCAGGGATACATTTAACTTAATTTTACTGTTAATTACTACTTTAAAAAATAATGTAAAACAGATTTTTATGGTTGGATTTTTTATTAAAAAAGTGCCTCCTTTTTACGTCAACCCTTGCCAGTAGACAATTTTTGAACCTTTAAATTATGCCGGTACGTCTTAGAGCTCTATTAAATACCGTAATAAACACTTTAGAAAACGCATAAAAAGGAGCTTCATGATTTCTGATATCTCCAAAAATTATTAGAATGAGGTAAGGAGGGGCAGAGATGAAGGTGAAGGTAGAAGATGGGAAACGCCTACAAAGACTACTTAGGAAACCTAGACCTGCACTTAGTGCATAATATTAAGCTGGCTCTCAAATAAAAAGGACGAGAAGCTATGAACTGAAATAATTTGGTTCAGGATAGAGTTAAGGTTCGGCCACACAGAGCGCTATGCTATGTTCGCTACATACGCTACGTACGCTATGTACACTCTGCGACGCATCTAACATAGGGAACATAGCGTACGTAGTGTACGTGAGTCTGTGTGGCCAGTCACATTGGCAATAAAGGGAGATATTTTTCTGTTCGTATAGCGAACATAGTGTACATAGCGTGCATTGCGTACGTAGCGCTCTGTGTGGCCGAACCTTTAGGCGGTGAGCCCTTGTGAATACAATAATGAACCATCGGGTTCCATTAAAGACAGAAAATTTCTTTACATGCTACCCCTCAAGAAATACTCTATTGCACTCCATAGAATAAGTCAATTAGCAACAAGAAGAAACAACTGAAATGGTTACTTGCAAAAGTGACATTTGTCCAGTGGCCGAGATTCCGTCATATTCATTCTTCAGATTAACCTATTCAGTCCTATCGACGTCCCTAGCATGAAGGCCTGTGTTATGTATACAGCACACACTCTACTGAAACATGAACATAAGTCCTTCATAGTCAAGGCGCATCGAACTTGTAGTAAAGATGGTTTGTTAAATATCCACTGCTTTCGAGAATTATTTGCATGTTTTCCTTGTGGGTTAATTTGGTTATAAAACGGTATAGCCTTCGTTAACTGAACCGCATTTAAAGTAGAATTTAGTAATTTCCATAAATATTCATTTAATGGTATTTACAATTCAGTATTGATATTTATGTAAACAGGGTCCAGCCAAGAACCTAATTTTTGCGCCACATTTCCTCTCTATTCACCTATTTGCGCGCGCGTACCCCCCCCAAAAAACGTAGTAAATTAAAACAAACTATAATATGTAAAGGTAAAAGGTAAAATCGTTCTTTTACGTAACTAATTGAGCACTACACCATGAAGACGTATGAGTGGATCTGTATGATCCATATTTTCTTCATCTAAAAGGGCTGGATTTTATCCATTGCGTTGCCTTCGAGTATAAAACCAGTTTCATTTTGCAGTGATATTCACTTCTGTAGATCAGAAGCAGAACAGTTTAGTTCTTTTACCATTTCATCATCCTCAGTAATCTGTCAGACGACAGGTCCACAGTCTCTTCCAAAGCAGTTCCTCCACTTATTGCGACCTAGAGCTTTCTCCTTCAAATGACAGTATCCTCTTCTGTCCCCAAGGTCATCCAGCATCTTCTTACGTCTTCTTCCTCGTCTTCTTGTCACTTCTATCCTCCCCTCTATCTTTCCTTCGATAACTTCTTTTAGT